TATAGCTAGGATGCTTAGCTTTTGATCTTCAAATGTCAGTACGACAAAATAGGCTAGTAAAGAGGCAACAGAAACCACAGTCAAGGATGCTGAACAAACAAAACTACTGAAGAAGGATGGTTCAAAGAAATGGTAGCAAAGTATCCATCACTGATGGTACTACATTCTAAAATTCTGGAGATTAATAAATAGATTAGAAACATTTTAAAGACAAAACATATGGTCTGATCTACTACAATTTTAGAAACAAAACCAAAATTCTTTAAAAATTAGTCAACTCCTCCAATCATTTGCCATTATGATTATTTAAGCACGCGGCCCACGGTAAAGACTAACCATGTGGCTTGAAGCATCCATCTGGTAACCTTTAACTGATGGAGCAATTCTCCTAGAACGTCCACCTGCTCCTCGCAACTGATTGGACCAATAGCTTCCTCCAGCAGCTTGACCAAAAGCCAATGTTCTTCCACCACCAGCACCATATCCTGTATGCCTGCCACTACCTTGCCTCCCCTGAGCGAAAGACATGTCTTGCCACCTATCACCAGTAGTTGTCCCATCTGCATAATCTTGGTTTTCTCTCTGCCTAATGAGCAGATTCAATCCACCACCACCATCAATCCTTGCCTCTACTAGCCTCTCATTACTTTCAGCAAGAACTGAAAGCTTCTCAGTCAATTAGAAGGTCGACACCTTGTAGCCTTGCGTGCTCAACATTGTGGTCGGCTGGTCCTAACTTACATGCAATTCTTCATTAATCATCATCTTGCTAGCAATTGATTTTCAACCTCATCTTCATAATCACTCCCCTCTTCCTCAGTGTCACTATCACCCTATTAACAAGAGATTAAACATTACTCACAAAAAAATTTACATTTTACAAAATAAAGAAATGCCTAGAACATCAACCAAAACTTTTTCCACAATCTAAGATGGAACAAAAAACTAAAAAAGATTACTGGGTTAACAAATATAGATTCCCAAGCTGGGTCCAGAACCATGATCCCATCTTTTTGTCTAAGATAAAATAATCAATTCTCACTCTCAGGGATCCAATACCTAAAACAAAAAGATCCTAATATAGAAATAGTATAAAATCCACAAATTTTTCACAAAATCCCAAAGTATATTAATGGGATTCAATCTAAGAACAGAATTCAAATAATAATATATCATATTGAATGGCTATTGAGAACTCCAAGACCAAAGATAGACCCAAATCCATAGAGAACAGGAAAAATTGCAATCCGAAACCGATTTTAATAAAAATAGCATCAATTCCACCCATATGCTTCCTTCCCGAACTAGAATTCGAGGATCGAAGGTGGAGATGCGTACCTGAGGGAAAAGCGGTGGCTGTAGGGTAGCAGGAAGTTAGGAACACCGCGGACGATGGAAATAGATTTTTATTTTCAGAGTCCGTTGTCTTCATTTGGGTTGTGTCTGTTTTTTCCTGGCCTTACCTTGCTAGGCCTACACTTCTTTTGGGCTTAGTTTCTATTTTTAAGGCCTGATTATTTGTCATGATGGACCGTTTCAGAAAATAATAATTGCTTGACCCACTAGTTCTGGATTTACGCTTAGCATTTGGAGCCCTTTTGCATACACACACTTATGTACATCCTACTGTTAAACAAGTGTATTTTTATAGATTAGCTTTAAAATTTAAGTCTTAGAGTAACATTTAAAGAAATAATTCTTTTAAATACATCAGGCAATGTGGCAGTGACATGCACAAAGGATGGCACAAGAACACCATGTGTAAATAAATTAAGAAAAAAAAACACACACACACATAAGTACATAGAATGATGGGTAAAGGTTAAAAAATTCTGTTTGGTTTGATTGTTATAATCTGTTTATATGATGGAGGATTATTAATGATTAATATTTTTTTTATTTATAATTCAAAGAAACCTCTAATGATTGATATTTATTATTATTATTATTTATAATTTAAATATTATTAGTAGTTAGATAATACTTATCAATTATAATTTGTTTAAAACAATTAAATTAATTAAATGAATCAACAACCTAAATAAGTCAGTAATATTTTTGTTTCAGTAGTAATCTTTTTTATGAAAAATAAGAAATTTTAAATTTGATTCACATAACATGTGAGTTGGGTGAATTAAAGAATAGAAGAAAATTATCTCTTATTATGCTACCCAACATAAAAAAAATTAATAAAATGAAACAAAGCCTTTGAAAGTTTTTTTTTTCCTTTTTTAATCGAAAAAATAAAGATTTAATTAAAATGGAGTATGAGGGTACTTTTACCCATAATACAAAATCTATACACTACACCATGTATCAATCATAACTTTTAGTACACCAAGTTAAATTGTAAAATATAGACATGAAAATGCATGAGCAGGTCAATGAAAGTCACTAACATTTAAATTGGCTGAAGGTAAGTGCCTTGTTGAGTAGCAAAGTTTCCCCGTAGAAATTAATCACTCACTACCCGTAGAAGGGATTTTTGTTGAAATTTAAGAAGAGAATTACTCTTAGAATTAATAAAATAAATTTTAGCATCAATTCAATCAACTGAATATGACTATAACAAACAAAAAGATACTAAATTTCTCTATAAACTCAAAAAAATATAATGCAAAGTAACTTTACAATCATTAACAATTTAATTAATTTAGTAATGATTTTTTTACAGTGAAATTAATATATTTTAATTTTGAATCAATTGATATAAATCCAACCCAATTTAAATATTTAACTCATTTAACTCATAATCATAAATCATACCTATTTATCATTCTTAATTTTAGTTCAATATTAAAGTTTAATTTTTTTAAATCGAACCCAACTTAATACATATTTTTGCATTAGCCCAATTTTTTTTAAATATTTTATTTTAAAATAATAAAATAAAAATAATCAAATTATTGTTGTAATATTGACTATGGAGGTAAAAGATCCTCACAAAAATTTGCCTCCATAGAAAATCCCCATAGAAATTATTGTCACTGCAATTTACAAGAACAGAAATGTCCCAACCTCATAGGTGCAATTGCTATCTCTAATTTTATTTGGAAAAACATTTTTAATTAGTAAGAACCACTTTCCCCTCTTATATATATATATATATATGTACGACTTTCCCCTTGTTCTTATAAGATAGAATATGTAGGAATAGGATGGCATTCAAATAAAAAGAATTTTAGGATGGGATAACTAAAAAAAAAAAAAAAAATCGATAGGATGGGTCAGGTATCACCAGCCCTTTTCCAAGTCTAGCCTGAAAAACTTCTGGGCTTTAAATCCGTAAAACTTTAGCATGGGCGGGTTTGCATGGACGAAAAGCCCGTATTTTTTTTTCTCCTTATTATATAAACCCTAGTCTAGGGTTCCTTCCTTCATTTCTTTATTCCAACTACAACGCCCACTAGGAGGTAGCGCTGGCGTGGCTTCTGCAATTACCCCTCCCTCTACTCTCCGCCATCAGCTCTCCCCTTACTACGGTTTTCTTCACGCTCCGTGCTCGTTACTGGTTTTATGCTTTGATTTGCTGCATTTTTCATGAATATAGATTGTTTTTAGTCTCATATTCGAGTTAGGAGGTAGTTTATTTTCCGTTTGGTTGCCGAGAAATGGTTGCAGATTGGTGAACGCATGCTTTAAATATTCCAATTGCATGAATTCTTTTCTGTTTGGTTGCCGTGAAAATGATGGAGCTTGTAAATTCTTTATTCACTTAGTTGATGCCAACTACTTGGTCCATTTGCTGCATCTTGAGATAATTTACTTGTGCCAAATTAATAATTTCTTATGGTGTTTGAGGCAATAGGTCATAGTTTAACATTGCTCTTGCTGCTGCTTGCTTTCTTACCATGTCGGTGCCTATGTATAGGTATGGAAACTGCTGTGGCTCCCGCTATAGAAACTGTTCGAGACTATGATGCCAAGCTATTCAACCGGTGGGACTTCGACGTTGAGGTGCGTTGTATAATTGGTCACGGCTTGATAGGATAATGTTGTGTGGTTATTATGTTGATGATTGATTTATAATCCCAATGGTTCGTTCTGCTATTTTTATATAGTTATTTTTAAATTTGTTGCAAAAATACATTTTGTAAATGGTTTCCTGTGCTACACTTGGCAGTCTACGTCTCTCTTGATTTGTATATACAATAATTATAATCTCATGAATATGTGTCTCTGCGTGAACAACTTGAAGTTGAGGTGTTGAATCTTATGGGTCCCTTTTTGGCCGATAAAAAAAAAAAAAAATGAAAGAAGAAGGAAAATAGGGGAGGATTGTATCTTTTGCTAATTAGAAGTCAGGGTTTTTGAATTCAGGTGTTGATTAAAGGTTAAAATTTAAAAATGAGAAGTTGGGCCTTTGTGGATTTAGGAACTTGGGCCTTTTGTATACTTATGAACTTGGGCCGTAAAAGATCCAATCCACTTTTTTCTGGGCTGATTCAGATGGCTAACTGATTTGTCATGGGTCAATTTCGATTGTGGTAAGCATTGTTTTTTGTCCTTAATATTTATAGTTACTTTCAAATTCATCCTCAACCTTAAGACTTTTGCCTTCTTTTTATTTTTGGTAAATAAGAGAAATATATAGATTATCTAATGGGCAGCAACTAGGCGAAAACACAGTTCTGATAGAGTCCGAATACAACATAAAAAGAGAGTTCCAGAGGCCTCTCATCCAAAATAAGAGAGTCAATAGGAGAGGAAATTCCAAACTTTTGCCAAATAAATCTGTTGCCTCATTCGCTTCACTGTAGATATGGCAAATCATGCAGTCAGCAAACCTCTTTATTAAGGACCTGCAATTAGCAATCAATGAACCACTTAAGTGTCAATCCAGAATTCGCAGAATCGAGGAGAATTTTTTGCAGCCTTGGAATCAATTTCAAGAGTAAGACTAGTGATTCCCTGTTGCCTGTTAGTTGCAAGTTTCAGTCCATCTCAAAAAATGATTAAATGGTGTGATCCTAACAATTACGGTCGCCATGATAACAGTGGCCAGTCTTTCCGTCCATTAATTGGGTTAGTGGAAACCCAATTAATTGTGCCATAATAACAGCGACCAGTCTTTCCGTCCAGTGCTTGGGTTAGTTGAATTGAAACAGCACCCAGTCTTTCTGCCCATTAAGGAGGTTTGTTGAAACCCAAGTACGTGTGCCATAATAACAGCGACTAGTCTTTTCGTCCATTAATTTGGTTTCAACGAACCCAAGTACGTGTGCCATAATAACAGCGACCAGTCTTTTCGCCCATTAATTGGGATGGACCGATCATTAATTGGCTTAGTTGAAACTCAATTACGTGTGCCATAATAACAGGGACCAGTCTTTCTGTCCATTAATTGGGTCAGTGCGTCCATTAATTGGGCATTAATTGGGTTACTTGAAACCCAATTACGTGGGCCATAATAACAGCGATCAGTCTTTTCGACCATTAATTGGGTTACTTTTTTTTTTTTTTTTAACAAACTGAAATGGGGTGGGATCCAACCAGTTCGAGGGAAAGGATGCATTTTTTTTAATATGACTAATGTCGTTAAATTCGAATGTCAAGTACCATTAACTGGGTTAGTTGAAACCCAAAAACAATTAAAAAAGAATCCATATTTTAAATTTGGTTGACTGACATGATGTACAAAGGG